TGGGGCCGCTCCCAGGAGCTGCAGAGGCGCCTCTGGGGCAGCTCCAGGGGGATTTTCAGGCCGGGACGAATTCGGGGTGTGGGGGTCGGGGGTCGGGGGGGGCTGTAGGACCCCTCCCCCCCCCTCTCAGACCCCGGCCCTGCCCCCCAGGCCGGAGTCCGGGTGGCCGATGGGGTGGACATCACCCGCACCAACGTGGAGTTCCTGCGGGAGCAGTTCAACCGCATCGCGCTGCACGTGCTGCGCTGCACCGGTACCGGGGGGGGGGGGGGGGGGGGGGGGGGGGGGGGGTGGGGGTCAGTGGAACGCTGGTGGTCACTGTGCGAACGCTGGGGAGGGGTCAGAGTGGTCAGTGCGGGTTCATAGGGGTCACTGTGGCCACTGGTCACTGGTTACTGGTCACTGTGGTCACTGGCCAGTGGTCATTGTGGTCATTGCTCAGTGGTCACTGGTCATTACTCAGTGGTCACTGGTCGTTGCTCACTGGTCAGTGGTTATTGGTCACTGGTCAGTGGTCACTGGTTACTGGTCACTCTGGTCACTGGTCACTGGTCATTGCTCAGTGGTCACTGGTCATTACTCAGTGGTTAGTGGTCACTGTGGTCATTGGTCATTACTCAGTGGTCACTGTGGTCATTACTCAGTGGTCACTGGTCACTGGTCAGTGGTCACTGGTCAGTGGTTATTGGTCACTGTGGTCAGTGGTCAGTGGTCATTGCTCACTGGCCACTCTGCCCCTCCCCCAGACGGCTCCTTCGGGCCGCGCCTGCTCGAGCTCTGCAATCGGGGCCTGTTCGAGTGCCTGGCGCTGAACCTGCACTGCCTGCGGGGCGAGCGGGGGGCGCTGGGGGCGCTCATCAGCGACCGCATCGTGAGTCACCCCAAAACCCCCCAAAACCCCCCCAAAAACCCCCCAGCCGGGGGTCACCGGGGGTCCCCGTGCCCCCCTGACCCCCCCGTTTCCCCCAGCGCCGCCTCTCCGCGGACGTGCCCCCGTCTCTGGTGGGCTGGCTCACGGCCGTGGTGGGGCTGCGGCTCCAGGCCGTGCTGGAGCAGATGCCCGTGACCCCCGAGCAGGTGCTGCCCTACGTGCGGCACCTGGGCGAGCCCCCGGAGCCGCCGCCCCGCCAGGTGAGCGCTGACCCCGCCCCCAGGTGTGACCCCCACCCAGCAAACCCCTCCCCCACGCCGGGCCCCGCCCCATCCGCTAAGCCCCGCCCCTCTGGCCCCGCCCACAGCCGCTGCCCGAGGAGCCAATGGAGGTGCAGGAGGCGGAGCCGCCCCCGGACGACGCCCAGGTAGGAAAGGGGCGGGGCCTCACGGAGGGGGAGGGGCCTCCCGG